TGTGATATGACAGCTAAAAATGGAGTTGGTGTGACAGTCATTAGTCACGACAGTGAAAGCAGAACATACGTGAAAGGATATGAGGCTAAGGGAAGTTACTCGCGTGACATTCGTTACACAGGAGCGAGTCTTTCTCAGTTGGCAAGTCTCACTAGAGTGTCCTCGAATTGTGAACAGTTTATCAAGTATGAATGTACAGGTTCCGTTCTCCTTCTAAATGGCCAGGTTTATGGCTGGTGGGTGTCACGTGATTCCGCTAAGACGACGTACTGGGGAGGAGCATCTGGCAATGCTAAGTGCGCATGCGGGATGACTAACTCATGCGCAAACCCCAGTTATGGCTGTAACTGTGATAACCAATCCTATAGATGGCATGAGGACAGCGGTCTGCTCACTGACAAGACGACGCTTCCTGTAAAACAACTCAGGTTTGGGGATACTGGTGACAGCGGAGAACAAGGTTACCACACACTCGGAAAACTAAAGTGCTTTGGAACAGCATAAATAGATGCTAGTTCTTGTGACTCCAAACCCGAAAAGTAAAAGAAGAAATATATATGTGTAACCTTAATAGTTCATAAAGAAACCTGGAGAGAGACTGACAGCGATCCTTGTTTTACATGTACAGTAAGTACAATAGCCCACCTTCGATATATTAAAACTCTAACATGACTCCGAGGCTTTAGGGTCAAAATTGCAAATTTCTCACGACTCCATTGTCTCGCAATTCGCAGAAGAGGCTTGAGGACAAAGAAAACCAAACCAAATGTAGAAAAATGACCAGAAAGCCTCGGAGTCATGTTAGAATTTTAATATATCGAACGTGAGCTATTAAAATCCGGTCGAACATCCGTAGGTTAGCTCTTCTCGCTTTTTAACTGATGTTTATTGTAAACAGCCTGTCATGGTTCAACATATTCATCAAACTCTAAATTCTTTTCACGAGAATTAACACCAACCGAAAATAGGGACATGGCACTAATAGCCCTGTCTTTTTCCCCTAGTACTGAAGTATCGATATGATTGTTTTAACTTGCTTTGGAAAGTCTTGCAGGTCGTGTTAGAGAGTAATAAGCAAAAGTTTAATAAATGTTTTTACGTATTCTGAAAAATCCTGTCACTATTATCGACGGCTGCTACTACCGGGGCTGAGCGCATGGGTGAGATTCTGACTATTATTGTGTGAATGTTTTGGTGGAGAGAGATACTATTTCTCTTGTTTGTTCTTCACATAGAGCTATCATGCGAATCATAAAAAACCGCGCTTCATTTGAGCGTCAATGCATTTAGCACAAAAATAACTAATTAAGGACACTATTTTTGTCTCCTACTGGACACGGGACAGCCATATTTTATTCAGTTTGTCATTCGATCCCCATGAAGGCTAAGCTGTTTGCAAGGAAAAGGCAGTACCTTTACTCTCAGTTATTTTAAGACCACGACTATTGCTCCAGCCCTAATGATTGATCAAACTAGCGACCATCCGCTCTGCAGTAAACGAGCAACTGAGCTACTACTGCCGTACTCTCATTTGAGACCTTTAAGAGCTGCCACATCACCCAGGTTTTTAGAAGGTTTATTTAAACTTAATTGCCTGCATACAAAACAATCTCCGGTCATAATTCAGGATTGGTTATAAAAACATAGTTCAAACGGTTAAAACGCTTTTAAATTTGACCAACCCTCCCATCTAAACATTGTTTGCTATTAACAGCGTCAAGAACGCTCACAGCCTAGACTTTTTTTTATCTATTTAAAAGTAAACACTTCACCAACAGATTTAAAGGTCTTATAAATAAATATAAAAAATGTAAAACTTAAGCTCTGTTAAAGCTCCACTTTTAAAGTGTAATTTATAAAGTTAAAATAGTTTGGGATAAGAAACAATCTCGAGTTCCAGTGTGCGAATATGGTACGTTGGTTGAGCGACATGGGTGGCGTCAAAATAGACAGAAGAGAAGCTTGTTATATTTTGTTAATTTTAAGATCCTTTGAGGTTTGAAAACAACTTTTTCACATCAGTTGTGGGCCCTTCTGTTGTTCCTGAACGCAAAAGTCTTCATGGTTAAGCATCGTTACCCTACGCGCACCACTTGACCCGGCAGGAATATGGCACCGCGGAGGAATGAGGTCTATGGGATTTACCATCGCTGGGTAAATGCCAGACAAAACGAAACAAAATGGGCGGAAGGTAATGGGCACGTGAGCTTTAGGCGTTGTAAAAAAACTAATGCCGCGTCTGTCACGTCTGTAACGTACCTTTTGTAATATCTTCCTCAGGAAAGACAAGGAAACGGACAAACAAGCTTTTAAGTGTATGTGTCGTACGTTATATCCGTTCTCAGGTTAAATCACAATTTTGTCTCCTATGAATAATTAGGGCCTAGAAACAAAAAGAAAATACTGAAGAAAATTCGGTTGAATCCTTGTCAAAAATGAGAACGGAATTTACGTACAACATAAACCTGCTGTTAGTTTCTTTATATTATCACTTGACGACGCAAAGCAAATCCTGAACTTCCTAATTTGCCGCTCTGAGTTTAACGTTTAGAGGTCATGAAGCTGGTCTGTTTCATTCTTTTTGAGTTATTATTTCCTGTGGTCTGGAGCGCGATGTCGTACTGTTCCGCCGTTCGCAATTCCTTTTGTTCTAGCTTTATAGTCTATGGGACTGTTCTGATACAGTGTAGTGCATTTTTTTGTTACAAGTTTCCAAAGCAAGACTGCAGTTTCGGAATTAAAAGATACCACGTCTAAGGTCACGTTTATTCTCGTTCAGCCTGTCAACACTATTTCAACCCGGATGTTTTCCTTAGCGCGTTCAGCCAACAAAAAAGGTAACTGCTGCATTGATAGCTTTGATAATGTTTTAAAACAATTAGGAGATGACCATTTAACTAGCATTTACTGTTTACCTTGAATGATTTCTTAAAGATGTATGATTCATGTTCTACAGTCTTTCAAAAACGGCTTTTATGTTTGAGGTCAAAAAACCAAATCAAGAGAAAGACGTGCTTTACCCAGTGAATCACAAGCGAAACCGGTAAAAACAGCCTCTGATGTAAAACAGCTGATCAAAGAAGAACTTCGTTTGCTGCAAAATCAAATCTGTGCCAAAGATGAAAAGCTCTGTCGACCAGGACCAAAAGGTAACACAGGAAGGCGGGGGAGACGAGGACCCCAAGGTATACCAGGTCCCAGAGGGAGAACCGGACCAGCAGGACCTCCCGGTAAACATGGACCAGTAGGACCACAAGGACCAATTGGCAAGGACGGAGCTCGCGGAATGCAGGGTCCCACCGGCGGGACCCCCCGGTCCCAGAGGTCCGCCGGGTAAGAAAGGCGCACCGGGACAATCTATCTCGGCTCCCTTCCTGTTACAGCGTCCTGTTGAAACGACAGTCAATGAAAGTCAGACAGCCATCCTGAAATGTACAGCGGTTGGCAATCCTCCTCCCAAGGTCACATGGTATAAGGTGAATTCATCACTTCCTGTCGGTCGTCACGTGGTAGAGTCCAGTGGCGCTATGATTATTCAGGATGTTAGAGCTGAGGACGAGGGCCAATACACCTGTGAAGCTGAGAATTTGCTGGGAAGCATCAACGCAACAGCGAAGCTAACGGTGCAGTGTAAGTTCCAACTTTTTTATTTAAGGCATTAAGCAATGATGTTCATTACTCTGTAACACATTTTCTATTTCTTGTCAGTTCCTCCCACTATTGTATTGTCATCACATCGCCTGATGGTTGAAGAGAAACAAAACCTCACTATCGCCTGCACTGCTACTGGTCAGCCGAAACCCAAAATCACGTGGTCCAAGTCAGTTAACAAACTGCCCAAAGACAGAAACAAAGTTATGAATGGAGCCCTGACAATCTATCATGTAGTAAAAAAGGACGGTGGAACATACATTTGCAAAGCAGACAATATTCTTAGTTCAGCAACAGATACGGCTCAACTCATGGTTTTCTCGCCTCTACGGTTTAAAGTCAAACCTCCTAAAGAAGTGCATACTGCAATTGGATACACTGTCCATCTACCGTGTATGGCCGAGAGTGACCTGAGACCTGTAATTTCTTGGTCAAAGGATGGCTCTATACTTCCTGTTGGTTCGAGAGTTCTTAAAAATAACACTCTCGTACTAAACAACATCAAAAAATCACACAGAGGATCTTATACCTGCAGAGCAACTAATGCCCTCAAAACGATAGAAACAGAAGTTAAAAATCAATTCTCCAGTGAGGGCTACTTCCTGTTCTGTTATCAAAAAGAACGTCAGCAGTGTGAGCGGAAATTACGTCATTGATCCAGATGGCGAAGGAGGTCTGGCACCATTTCCTATTTATTGTGATATGACAACTAAACATGGAATTGGCGTGACAGTCATTAGTCACGACAGTGAAAGCAGGACATCCGTGAAAGGATATGACGGTCAGGGTACTTATTTACGGGATGTTCGTTACGCAAAAGTGAGCCTCTCTCAGCTAGCAAGTCTCACCAGAGTCTCATCGCATTGTGAACAGTTTATCAAGTATGAGTGTTACGGTTCAGTTTTGCTTAACAACAACAACAAATATGGATGGTGGGTGTCACGTGATTCTACTAAGATGCCGTACTGGGGAGGAGCATCTGGCAATGGTAAGTGCGCATGCAGGATGACTAACTCGTGTGCAAACCCCAGTTATGGCTGTAACTGTGACAAGAATGACTATGTATGGCGTGAAGACAGCGGTCTCCTCACTGACAAGACCAAGCTTCCTGTGATACAAATCAGGTTTGGAGATACTGGTGAAGGCAGCGAACAAGGTTACCATACCCTCGGAAAATTGAAGTGCTTTGGGACAGCATAAATGAAGGCTCTTATTCCAAAGTAAAAAAGCACGAGTCGTTTGTAGCGTTATTAGTTCCAAAAAACAAGTGATAGTACAATCCTGGACAAAAGTCTTGGGATACTTTTGCGTTTCTGGGGCGTTGTCCAATTTACACAGTCCAACCCCTCCCCTCACCCCACAAACAATGTTGGACGCGTGTATCCAGAATGTTTTTGTTTAGTTTCAACTTTGTATAGAGTGGTGGGAGGGAGAACTGCAAGAAAATTTCGAAAAGAATGCACTGTTTTAAGAGAGAACCGAAAAAAGACAGAAAAATATGAATATTGCATTACTGTCCCAAGGACTTTTGTCCACTATCGTAGAAATGCCGGCTTCCGTTGGTTACACCCTTTCGCTCCTTTTTGCTATTGGTTATTGTCAGCAAAATTGTCGTTGTCCAATACGTTAATTAAACTTTGTTTGACGAGAACATAAACTAATCGACATTAGCAAAATCCAACTAGTGGTCTATTATCAATGTTGCGTTCTGATTGGTTGAGCTACTACTAGGCTATATGTTATAGCCCACTAGTAGCGAAAAGCGCCAGCTTTGAAAACCCAAAAAATGGCGGCTGAATCGCGTTTTGCTGGATAAAGTTGTTTTGTCTCCGTATTTTTGACCAAATAGTTGGATTTTGCTGAAAGAATTATTCCTTTCGCCCTCATGGCCCCTGAGTCAATAGCCAATGAGGCCGAAGGCTGAATGGGCTAATGACTCAAAGCCCATTAGGGCTCAAAGAATAATTGTTAAATAGTACAAGTGATTAATTAATTAACCACAGGCCCTTTGTATGCTTCTGTAAATGCGACGGTTTGAAAGTCGTTAAAGGGAGAGTAGAAACAAGGCACACCGAATCTGCTGTCCACTCTTGCTATTGCGACGGCTGCGCGCATGCGCAAGGCACTGGCTATACCGTACCACCGATGTTTAGAAAGTATAGCCTGTACCAGGCTCTCAGACAGTAGGGATGTCACGAAAACGAGGTCAGGAAAAAAAAAGTATCTTTCAGTTTAGATCAGAGTAAGACAGTAGAGAAGCTGCAGCTCTGCTGCATTGGGGCTAGGAACATTTCTCTTGCTTGTATTTCACAGCTGGATATCAAGCCAATCAACTGAGACCTTACGAGAGCTGTTGGATAACTGTGGTTTCTAGAACGTTATATTTGTACTTGCATATAAAAATATTCGGTAAAAACGTTAAATGTTTGGCAAAAGGTCATTTAAAAAAAAGCATAACATTTTAGAGTCTTTTTTACCACATGAAGCGTTTCTTAGAAGGAGATTGGGAATAAAGCGAAAAAAAGAATAAACGTTAGTCTCCCTTTAAACTTCCGTTTCTATGTACAATTTGTAAACAAATTAGATGCGATCTTAAATATTTAACTCGTTTTAGTAGGGTACGTTTACGGGGCGACTTGAATGGCGTCAAATTGGGGGAAATGGACAAAAGGAGGCTTGTTACATGTTATGAATATAAGATTCTTTGAGCTCCAAGACATAAGGTTTTCAATTCAGGTGAAGGCCGTCCCTAGTTTACCCAGGCAGAAATAGCTCAGTCGGTAGAGCAATTGACTGCAGAGCGGGAGGTCCTGGGTTCGATTCCCGGAGCCGAACCAATACTCAAGGTCTTCAAATAACTGAGGAATGAAGGTACTGCCCTTGCTTTGTAAACGGCTAGACCTTCGCGTAGCTCGGACGACCACGTAAAATGGCGGACCCGTCTCCACTAAGAGACGTAAAAACTGGTGTCCCCAATTAATACGTTCTTCTAAATAAAATGACACTCAAATAATGTGCATTTTCTTACGGTCATGCATTGTCATCTCACGTAAACCACGTAACATTGTTGGGAAAAAGCCGCGAGGAAGAATGAGTCCCAAGGAGTTAGGAATGGCCGGCGGAAAATGCCTGACATCTAAAACTGAAACGTGACAGATTACGCGAATGGTATTGGGCACGATGTAGGTTACATGACAAAGAACAAAAACCACATCTGTCACGTCCGTAACCAAATTTTCTAACAACTTCCTCAGAGAACACACGGAAAGGTATTGCATTAAAATACAAAATAAACATTGACCTGTGCTAAGCGTGCTCCTTCTGATTCGTAACTGTAAACTATCTGTATTTGACCCTATAGTATTACTACGACTTCCTCCCGTGCTTAAATTCTCAAATAAGCTGAGACAACTCCAAGCCTTTCCCCTCTTCTACTTGTCGTTCCATCAAATCACCCATTCTAGTCAGGGATATAAATATATATTTGAGCAAAAAAGGTTTTGAGACTGCTCCAATTGTTTAAAAGTTTTAAAGTTCTTTTCTTTATTAATTTCAAGGAGCCCTGCCTAACTAGGTTTTGGTGAAGCCATAGGCCTAACAAGACAGTTCAGTTATTATGACAAAAACAAGGGTAGAAGAGAAGCACACAACCAGAGTTAAAACATTTGATAGTCTGTGTTGTAAGTCAGGTTTGCTGCTGTCAGTTGTGTGCTGTATCGCACTTATTCGCGTAGAACTTCGAGTACAAGAACATCATCAACTGATTTCACACTCAGTGACACTCTGTGGTCAGTTGGAAACAGAAATCGTTCCATTTCATCCGAAAAATGGAAGATGGAGAGTAACCGAAAGCAGCAATTCAGATTTGGGACAAGAGATGGAAGGTGAGTATTCGGAAAAACGAGAGCAAAGATAGGTGGTCATAATTGGCTTCCGTCAGGAACAAGGTGAGTCGTTCTCGGTGAAGCACATTTAATACCCCCATTCAGAAACACTGCTTTTTCTAAAATCAAACCCAAAAGTCAAAACGAAAGAGGAAATGACCCGGTGCAGGGTAAAATGGTTTCCTTTTAAGCGAATTGTACATTCAAATCCTGCCTGCTTGGGTAGCCATGTGATCAATTCACTATGTCTTTCCCGGTTTACAAAACCGAAAAAGACAAAGTGAATTGACCACTGAAGTTTATTAAATAAACACGGTTTATTTTCTATTTCCTCTCATAAGGTCAGGAAACCTTGTCACGACAAAAACGCGCTTCATCCGATGACTCACGAGCGAAACCTGTGAAAACAGCCTCTGATATAAAACTGCTGATTAAAGAAGAACTTCGTCTCCTACAGAATAAAATCTTCGTCAAAGATGAAAAGCTCTGTCGACCAGGACCAAAAGGTAACACTGGAAGGCGGGGAAGACGAGGACCCCAAGGAATACAGGGCCCCCGAGGGAAACCCGGCCCAACAGGACCTCCTGGTAAACATGGACCGATAGGACCTCAGGGACCAATGGGCAAAAAGGGGGATCGCGGACTGCAGGGTCTGCCAGGTCCCATAGGACCTAGAGGTCCGCCGGGAGAGAAAGGCGCACCGGGACAATCTATCTCGGCTCCCTCCCTGTTACAACAGCCTGTTGAAACGACAGTCAATGAAAGTCAGACAGCCATCTTGAAATGTACAGCGGTTGGCAATCCACCACCAAAGGTCACATGGTCTAAAGTGAATTCGTCACTTCCTGTCGGTCGTCACGTGGTAGAGTCCAGTGGCGCTCTGATTCTTCAGGATGTTAGACCTGAAGACGAAGGCCAGTACACCTGCAACGCCGAAAATTTGCTAGGAAACATCAACGCAACAGCGTAGCTAACAGTGCAGTCTAAGTTCCTTCTTTTTCGTCAAGATTTTTAAAAAGGGTGTCCCTCATCTTCATACATTTTTCGACATGTTTCTAAGAGTGTTCTAACGGACAACTAGAGTTGCTCTCATCTTACCGTTCTTCGTTTATTTCCTTTGACCATCTTTATAACTTGCGTACCTCTCTAAAATGAACAGTAAGTATTGGTCGCAGCGATGTTCATTCTATCAGTACAGTAAAACACGCGACTAAGAACCTGTTAGGCTAATATTTGCGAGTTAGGCACCCTCTATACAAGAACTTGTTCAGCTCTAAAATTTGAAACACGTTCTTATTTTCTAAAATCTACCAAAAAATTCTGTACAATTAAGGAAATAAGATAAGTCAACATTCAGGATCCTCTTCGAAGACATAGGTACCTTAACACTTCACTTTCAACTACTGTACTCCCCAAACACTCTGCAAGTGTTGCTAGGATACAATTTACCATCTGTGCGCGTGGTACAGAGGGCCTAGTTATTACCATCTGTGTATCAACAATTGGATGTGGCATTCGAAAAACCAGTTTGACTAAAGGAAAAAAGATTGACTAGTGCAGAAATTTGGTCTGCAGTGACTTCAGAGCTTTGACGCGATTCAGGCAGAGAAGACAAAAGGAGGCTCTGCTCGCAGGGTGGTTTTACCTAAGGAATGAGCTAACTACTCTTAACCTTTTCACTGCCAGATGTGGCCAAAGGCAAATTTCGATCAAATTTCCAAATTTCATTCTCTAAAACTTTGAGAAACAAATAGCATCATGTGAAAATACAGGCAGAGAGCTTTCATCTGAAAGGTCACGTCATAGGATTTCGTCCACAGACTCAAAAGTTAGAGTCACGTTACAAAACTCTATCAAGAACTTGGGCAGTGAAAAGGATAAATACTCTTAGCCACAATGTATTTTTTCTTTAGAAAATAAGAACCTATGGAAGAGCCTGAATCGCCTAAATTTGTGCTTATTACCATTTATGTAAAAAAACTGTTTAGGTTAAATTGGAAAAATGCAGGTTCTTAGTCGCGGGTTTTTACTGTACTTTGTTTGCAAAAAAACATGAGTTTCTTTTCTTGCCAGATCCACCCTCTATTGTATTGTCATCAAATCGCATAATGGTAAGTGGTGTGAATTGTGGGAGATAATAATTGAACTATGTCTGAGTTAATATGTAGTTTGTGCTGAAAAAGTCAAAAGGGAGATTACTAGTTCTTTATTATTATAATTATTTTTTAATTGCCTTTTATATATTTTTCAATATATATATTTTGTTCTCTAATTTATTTACTCTACTTTGTTTAGATTAATTTTATTTGACCTATGCAGGAGACCGAGAGAGATTATTTTGAGAAATAAAATGTGGAGTCTATCAAGTACAACTTTTCTTTTGCATCTTCTCTCAGTCTTTTTCTATTTCTTCAATTTCCTTCTTTCCTGGACTCGACACGGGAATGTCGGGCATATGACCTGGTACCGGGTTAGAAACATTCCTGCTCAGTTATGCTATGCCCCTGATGATTCACAACTTTTTAGAGCCTTGGTGTCGATGCATCCATTGTCCCAATATACCCGGGTCCCTTAACCTTTTCTTTCCTACTCTTCCATGGTTTTTTTAATCTGCGATTTACCTTTTTCGACTTCCTGGAATTCTACACTGAAAAGTTTCAAGAACGAAGTAATTCAGGATGAGCATTCTTGTTGTTGTTGTTTTATTTCTTTTCTCACTTCCTCTTTTTATGGTAGATGTTTTTTTATTTTTTGTGTTTTTTTTTTTACTTGAATCCCACGTTCTTCTTTTTAACACCCTCCTTTACTTAGAACAGCTACTGTTTTTTTTTTTTACCTTACTTTCAATGTTCTAAAGATAAATGGGATAAATTCGTCCCCATGCTCCTCTCATTTTGCACTAGAACAGCAACTATCTTTTTAGGTACTTTCAAAGTTTTAAAGAACGAAATAACATTATAGATAATTACATTTTCTGGTTGGCAGTTTATTTAATTAAGTAGGGTAACCCCCTTTTTTCATCCATTTTCGTTTTCATTCAGCTGGGATAAGTTCATCCCCAGACTCCTCTCATTTTGTACGTCATCATGCTGACGATTACCTATGGCGTGAGCAGCAAAAAAATTGTTTTTGCTACTTTTTGTGGGCCACATCCATGAGAAGAGGAATTTTTGTCTACTAGCTGAGGAGTTTCCAAGTTTTTTTTGCTTGCTAATTGGTCTGCTGCGGAGGCTATCTGAAGTATTTAAGAGTAAGTAATCAAGTATTTTTATTTCCAAGACCTTTCAGTACTTTCATGTGTCAATACCGCAGTCATCTTGCTACGGTTATAGCTCGTGGATCTATAATTGCCCTAGAAACCTGTTTCCCTCGCTTCAAGGCCCTTAACTTTATATTATATTATATATTAACCCTTCAGTTCCTTTTATTTTATTTTGCATTGTGTATTGTGTTGGACGTGGCTGCATTGCAGTTTGTCGGTCGCTCAATATCGGTGTCTTTAACTGTTAACATTTTACTTTGCACTGTATATTTGTGTTGGACGTGGCTGCATTGCAGTTGTTGGTCGCTCAATATTGGTGCTTTTTCTAACTATTTAACTATTAACCATTTTTATTTGTTTTTATGCCTACAACACTCTCATTTACACACACCCTCCCTCCCTAACTTACCCACTATTTTAGTGGAGACTTGGGAACCCTTTCATTAGGGATTCCATACCACACCTGTAATGCCACAAAGGTTGCTAGAGAAACTACTGTTTTTTTTGTTGTTGTTGTTGTTTTTTTTTTTTCAGAGCTGGTACTGAGGGACCAACAAAACTGCTGCGCAGACTAAAGTCTATCTAAAATCAGACTCAAATGAATAATAATAAGAGCACAGGAGGGTAAATCGTTTAGTGGACAACAGTTAAACAACGAACAAGCCCTTATCTAATGACTGCGGGTTAGTTTTTAATAAATATCCAACAATCTGTCGTTAAATTAACAATTGGTTCATGATTCTGCTGTACGTATGACGAGATATGAAGCACGGCGGGAAGTTTGGAGAGCACGAAAGAGGCTTAAGAGTTGCTCGAGGCGCAGCTGAGAGCAACTCTAGATTCTTGCGTTGTCTACAAACTTCCCAAGTGCTTCATACCTCGACATACGCACAGCTGAATCATGAACCATTTGTTTTATGACATTTTTTTAACGCGATCAATGCGGCAGTTACCCGCTCAAAGCAGTACGCGTCAATTTCTACGTGAAAATTTGTTTAACTCATAGCTATGTTTCCTCAGTTATCCTCAAGCTGCATGAGAAAAAGTTTATAGACCTCTCGCTTGAGACAACATTCGAAAAGTTCTTATAATCCATATTGAGATGGAAAACTACAAATTTGCCACAAAATTCCTTTTAAACAAAAACTAAGACTTTGCAAAGAATGATTTGCACCCGCCATAGCTCGCAGCTGACGACAACATTCACCTCCGCCTCTAGCCCTCTACTATCTGTTAACAAATTCAAAAGTGTTTCTCTTAAGATTACCTTATGAAACACATGGTAAACGCTTCACCGTGTACTTTTAAGCTATGGATGCACTTGGGAGCCGGGATTGCTAAGTTCACGAAAAACTCGAGGTATAGTTTATTGACGTCATTAGCGGGCTTAATGGGAATATGAAGCACTCTCGCGCTATTGAATTTGATTAGGAGAATATTCTAGCTATGTTATATTGTCATACATATCATGTGCAGTCATTCATCATAATCAGCAAAATGCTCATGGAAACGGGAAAAACACTAAAAATAAAATATAAATAAAATGCTCATTTATCACGTTAAATTGTCCCGCGTAACCGCACCTGATATATAGATTTCGCCAAGGCTAACAGCGAAGATCTCGTTTATATACTTAACCAAAAAATAAACTTAAAACCACTGTGAAGAAATCTTTCTAATATGTGCTTAATATTAGCTCGATTGCAAACATGCAAGAAAACTGAGCCATTCTAGCATAAAGATGTCAATTTAATTAATTTCAAAAACTTACAAGGCTCCAATATCTATATAAATATATTTCATATGTGCCATAGAGAAAAAAAACAATAATACCAATAATAATAATAATAATGAATAATTATGATAATAAAAATGATAAAATAAGATGATAATATAGATATAGAATAGAAAAACTAATGGCTAAAAGTTAAAAAGATAAAATCTGTTAGCATAATCTTAAAAATTATAAGCTAAAAATTTTTTATAATCTAGTAAGCTAAAAATACAATCTTATAATCTAAGTGGTACAAAATGCTTTTTTAAAAAGGTGAGTCTTCAACTTTCTCTTAAAAGTGTCAATTGAAATGGATTCCGTGATAAAACTTGGCACAGCATTCCATAACCTAGGTGCAGCAAACAGAAACGCCCGTTCACCAAGAGTTGCCTTGGGCTTAACATTCGGATAACTAAGTAGGGTACTGTCGCTAGAACTTCTTAAATTATATTTAGATACAGGCTTAGGAGTAATTAAAAAACTTCAATACGAAGGTGCTAAGCTCTTAAAAATCTTAAAAACAATCAACAGGATTTTAAATTCAATTCTGAACTTTACAGGCAGCCAATGTAAATCTACTAATAAAGGAGTAATGTGACAATATTTACTTTCATTGCATATTAATCTAGCACACATGTTCTGCGGCACACGCTGTAGCTTATTGAGTTGATACTCCGGCAGGCCATATAAAAGACTTTTAAAGTAATCTACTCTCCTTGAAATAAAGGCATGAACCAAAGTCTTGGTGTTGTCTTTAGACAGGTATTTTCGTATGCGTCTCAGATTATACAAATAATAGAAGGCAAAGTTACATGTTTTTGAAAGATGGATTGCCATCGTCAGCGTGGAATCAAATCACGAGCCCAAGTTCCTTGCAGACGACACAGGAGTAATAGTTGCACGAAGGCTGTTAATAGATACTTTAGCTAGTTGC